CTGAAGCTCCTGTCCCTTCTTCCACTTCTGACCAACTGAGAATCAAACTCAGATTTCTTTTAACAAATTGATTTCAGAAGTAAATATTTACTTTACTGTATTTGTTATACTAACTTGATGATATGCAGTTCATAAAACCAATTCAAAACTTAATTTTGGAGCTGTATAAGTTTGCCACAGGCACTGAGACCAGCCAGGAAATCTTATTTCCTCTCCCTTGTGAAATAAGGATCTAAGCACTTGCATTAATATTTCTACAGTAAAGTTTCACTCCCTGAACATGAATTTCCTGTTTCTCTAAAAGCAGCCCCATCCTGGCTCCACGTGCTGGGTGTCAGTGCTGAGCAGAGACTGTGGTGAGACTTTGTACACCAAGAGCACCCAGATCATCTGATCCTCAGCACATCTGGGAGCATAACTGACCCTTCCTGTTTGCTGAACAGATCTAGGGATGAGAAACATCATTCCCACCCCCTCCCCATTCCTGCAGACCCAGAGCCATCAGTGCTGGGACGACAGGGACAGGGCAGTGCCAGGCTCCACCTCTGGCTCTGTCCTGGGGGTGTTTGGGCTGTGTTTGTGCTGCCCTTCACTGCTGTGCCACAGGTCTGCTGGGCATTTAACACAGCTTTACCTCTCAGTGCTGGCCTGGGGGGAATTAGCATCCAGAAGAAACTTTGAGCTGATTTGTTTTCCTCTTCTCATCAGAAGCAGACTGCAGAAATGGCAACTTTCATTCACTAAGTCTGTTTCTTATGTAGATTTGGAGTGGCCTCATTTTTCTCCACAGTTAATTTGCTCCTTAGCTAACATTTTCCTTGGCAGTGTGGACCTTAGAGTCATGGAGTAACCTGGATTCCACCTGGATCCGTGTTTGGAGGTGAAGGGATGCTGTTAAAGCAGCAGGCTGTCCCCTTCTGGTGTCACTCCTGAGCACCACTACCCCCTTTCTTCTGCACTTACTCAAGAGCTTAATATTATGATATTACTCATGAACTCATAAAGTGATAAATGAAGCAGAGCAGGGTTGAGATGTGATGGGCCAATGTGTTGGGATGGAGAAACAGAGCAGCCCAAAATGCAGCCAGCAGAATTTGCCTTTCCCCACTCCTGCCAGAGGGTGACTCTGTCCCAGGGGATCCCCAATCATCCAGACTCCTTGGTCTGCAGGAGCACTGCTGTTCTTCTGCAGGGTGTGCTGAGACTTGGAAAAGCAGAATGTCAGCTTCTTTCCCCTCCTGTACACAGTGCCTGTGGGTGTGGAGTGCCACAGGACCCAGTTGGCAGAAAGCACAATGTATAATTTACTGTTAATCGTGGGATTATGTAGATAAACAGAGTCTGCTGCCTAACAATGTTATTTCGTTGATCAGCTCTAATCTTAGCAGCATTAATAACTGGAATCCACAGCCATTGTGTTCCCAGGCTCCCAGATCAGCCTGTGGCTGCTCTGGAACTCGTGCCCGTCCTGCATTACCTGTGCTGGTTGCAGCTGGCATGTGCAGTTTAGATCTCCCACCTGTCCATCTCCTCCTCTCACAAACGTGCTGCCAGGGCATCTGTGTTCCTCAGGGTGATGGGGGAACCTCAGCTGGAAGCACAGCCCAGCTCCTGGGCTCTCCTGGGTGAGCTCTGTCTCTGCAGCCAGGACTCACTGGGTTCATTGTAAGGTGCAGTGCCCAGCTGCCTCCTTCCCTCTCTCAAGCAACTCGCCCTGTCAAAACAGAAATGGCATTTTTGTGCCAGTCCTTCAGGTCTGTGCCACAGGTTTGTCCCTGCTGAGGAGGTGTGGCTGTGAGAGGGACAGACCTGAATGCTGAGCCAGGATTAACCTCGTCCTGGGAGACTCCACTCCCAGAAAGTGCAGCCTGCAAACTGGACCATTCTCATGACCTCAGGCTCCCGTGGATTTCTCTCGATAACACCATCTAATCGGATTTAGAGTTTAATTAAACAGCTGTCACTTTGCTTCCTTATTCTGCCACAATTTAATGTTGAATTAGTTCCTAAATCAGTCATGGCTGAATGCTTGCCTTCTTACAATTGAGAGGTTGGATGAACATAAGGTTTGCTCTTCAGCTAAATCCAAGCAATACTTTGTGTTCTTGCTCTTTGTGGAGAGCTCCCGGTGCCATCAGTGCGAGTTCCCTGGCAGAAAAGGGATGGGATAAAGTGTGAGATTGCTGTCAGGGTTACCCAGCTCTGAATGACCAAAGTGAGCACAGCCTTCTCAGCTCTGCCTGCAGCACATCTGCTTCAGGGATATTCTTTTCCCTTTCTAGGGAAGAAATGATTTTTCTGAAAACCAGTCCTGCAGGGTTTGCTCTGGGGCAGCGCAGGGAAGGAAATATTGGGGCCAGCAGTGCTGCAAGTGGATTTTATCCAAATGAACCCTGACACAGGCAAGAGCAGAGCATGAGAGGAGGCTCGTGGTGCTCTGAGCTGTGCCAGCAGCTCCACGGAGGAAAGCTGGGAGATCTCCTGCAGAGTGGTGCTTCTGCATCAAATTCTGACAATAAAGTTTAAAGAAATTTCTTACACACAAAATTCAGCGATTTGCTTTCATATATTTCCTTTGATACCTCCTTGAGCCTAACCACTAGAGTTTTCCTGTAATCATTAGAGGAAAATTTGTTCTTTAATTATACTCTTTGTTAATTAAATACATTTAAATAGTAATTATTTCCTTCATGTGTTGTATCCATTGAAGGGATGCTCTGGTAACAGGGAAGAACCATCCTAACTGGGGCTCTGATGTTCTTCAGGCGAGGAAGCCAACCCAGCCCTGTGATATCGAGTCAGATGTTGGTGGGATTTGGGCACGGTGCTGCCAAGACAGCTGGAGGCTTCCAAAGTCACAGCTCCCTTGTTTCCATGAGGATTATCTGTGTAGTTCTCTGTTTCAGCCATGGAAGTGCCAGTCCTGCCTTTTCTGGAGTTTGCAATTCACTCACAGAAACTTCTTTCTGACCTGGATATTGATGCTGACTTACAGTGCATCTTCCTTCTCTTTTTTAATTTACTCTACTTCCCTCATTTTTGAATTTCTTGGGGAACAAGTCCAAACACTGCTATCAGATGCTTTCAGTTTTTTTGTGACACAAAATAAATTTCATTTTAAATCTCTGCTTGCTGCCTGCACAGAAAGTAGATTAGTTCTTGGGGGATTTTAAAAATTAAAGAATGTGGAAATGGCCGAGATATTGTGATTTTGAAAAGCGCCTTCTTTTTAAATGAATTCTTTGTCTCTGTGAAAGTTTCTTAGGAATGTTGTTGGTATAGTCCTGAATTAGGCTGCAATCAGGGCAGTATATTGCATTTAGAAATGAGGCTCAGGTGCCTCTGCTGGCTGCTGGATTTCCTGTGCTGCTGGGAGAAGAGTTCTTTTCCTGCCCTCGAAGGTGGGACTGCTGCTCGTGCTTATCCCTGGATATCCAGAGGTGCTGCAGCAGCTGTGAGGATGCAGGGAAACAAACCTGGGTGCTGAGCCAGAGCCCTGGTGCTGGTTCAGGGTGCTCAGGGACAGACAGACAGACAGGCAGACAGACTGAGTCTGCTTTTATTTTTCTCTGTTCAGCTTTTGAGGAGTGTTGGGCCGTGGATGCTCTCTGTGCTGTGAGAGTTTGCTGTCAGTTTGTGTGGTGCAGACTGTGGCTGATTCTCCCTGGGCTGCCTTTGGCTTTATTGCAGCAATATAAAGGCAGCACTCGTGCTCTGAGGCTATTCCATATCCAGGGATATAGGGTACATGCTTTTCTACTTCAGTTCTAAACAAAAAACACAATAAAATCAAGACTTTGTTCCTTGGTCTTTTTTTCTGGTTTGTTTTAACTATCACAGGGCCCTTAGAGCCTGAGGAAGGGAAGTGGCAGAGCTGAAAATTGCTTTTAGTATAGTGTCTAATATATTAATTGCTTATACATCAGTATTCCTTAATCTGTGTAATACCCATGACTTATGGGTACCTGATACGAGCTATGGCTGCTTTCAGGGGAGGTGAAGGCAAAAGGTTTCCATCTCTGCTCAGAGCTGTGGCTGGATGGGCACCAGTCCCTTCCAGTGCTGGGAATGATTTAGGGTTCTTACATTTCTAGAACAGTCAACATTCCCTTTTAGCATTTCCTTTTAAGTTTGATGGAATTTCTTACGAGAGCTGCAGGAGAACCTGAGAAATAACAAGTTGCCAGATGAAAAGAAAATCTGACCTAAATTTCAGACTCACTAAACCTGAATTGAAAACAGTATCAACAGTATCAGTGCCCCATTTTGCTGCTGTTGACATCAATGGCTGCAGTCCTCATGACTTCAGTGCTGAGGAATTTGCTGAATATTTTATTCACTTTATATTGAAAGCTGAAAAGTTGGAGAAAACTTTGAAGTTCTTCCAGCATGGGAATCTTGGGAATACAGTGATGCTGAAATAGTTGAGGAGTTCCAAGTGTTAGCCTGGTCGATGGTGCATTGAAAGGATTTTATGTTCCACAACCCCGGTTCAGACTTCAAATTTCCTTGTTATTTCCCCTGCAGTTTACAGCATCACTAACTCCTTCTGGATTCCTTACATTGCTTCATTGGCCATATCAGAGGAAATTAAATAATCTTGAAACAGTTCCAGACACAAAGTTCACGGCGAGGCCCCGTCTTTGCAATGGGCTTGGATTCGTAGAGCAGCATTTTTACTTGGGGGGCTCTTGTGTCCTTACCCAAACATTGCCAGTCAAGTGTACATTAGGAAGAACTCAGGAATCACATGTGGGAAGGTGGATATTGGGAATAATTCCACACATCTGGAAGGCAGGAGATGCCTGTGGAGTGTGCCCAACCTGAACTGAGCTTTGTTCGTGGTGCTGTTGAGCAGAGTGCAGCACTGAGTGTTTGTTCAGCAGCTGAAACACGCCTGGGGTTTCATTACCCTTTGGCAGGCTGCACTTCTTGGAAGAATTGAGATTTTCAGGCACCCAGCAGCGATGTGAGCAGTGCTGTGCTTTGTTTTGGGGCAGGACACGGAGATCCTGAACACGGCCATCCTGACGGGCAGGACGGTGGCAGTGCCCATCAAGGTGGTGTCCATCGAGGAGAACAGTGCTGTGACAGACATCTCCGAGTCCGTGGAGTGCAAATCCTCGGGGGAAGACGTCATTAAAGTAAGTTCATGGCACTGAGTGGCTTCTGGGTTTGTTTTACAGGCAAAATAGCCTGGGCATAACCTCCAAATCAGCTCCTGCGAATTCATGGCCCTCCTGTTGCAAAAGGAGAGGGTTTTTGGGAAGAGTGAGGTGCAGCTGTGCAGCCACCACACCAAGTTTCATCTTTATCTATGTCCTAATTTTGAAGTGCTTTGGTAATTTCACCTCAAGTCCCCTGGATTCCATTCACTGCAAAAGCAGCTCCTCTCCTCCAGATGTTCCCCATCACCTTTCCAGCTGTGCCTCTCACCTCCACAGCTGCTCGGGGTGGGTTGGATGAGCAGCAGCTGCAGTGCACACTCATCCTGCTCCACAGCCCTGCAGGGAATTCCCACTCCTGCACGTGGGGCCTTTGGGGGCTCCCTAAAAACAGAGGCCACACAAAATTAAGGGAATAAAAAGCAGTTGTATTTCTCCATTTATTTTTTTTTTTTTATTTATCCAAAGCCAACCCAAATATCTCCATTTTGCTGGAGCTTGATGCTTCACAGAGATTTTAATCTCTAGGAATTCCTATTAATGTTTTTCCTAAGGCAGTCACATAACCACAAATAGAAGTGAAAACTGAAATTTAGTTTAGGGATCATCCTGGTTGTAATCGTATTGGAAACCACTTCCCTGAGTAAGAAAAAATACAAGATAGCATTCACAAATAATAATTTAAAAAGAATCAGAAAAGGACTATTATGATTCCATTTTGCTTTAACAACTTAGCAGAATTCCACCAAATAATTCCAGCCCCATGGGGATTTCTTTCCAACTGGGAGAATGACCAGTATTAAGTTCTTCCACTCAGAGAAAGACTCAGGTTAGGGAAAAAAATATGTAATAAGTAATGCATCACCAGATGATGCCTAGAAAATGACAGCAGAATTATTCCTCAAAAAAAATTCCTTCTGGAAAAATGGCTTCTGGCTCTTCTAGCTTTGAAGCATATTCTTCAAGAAGAAGTGAAATCCCCAAGCCTTACAAGAAAAGAGCTTGTTCCTGCAGTAATTGCACCACAGCCCAGACTGCTGCAGTTCTCCAGCAATTTGTTTGGAAGGAATGTTTTCCTGAAGCACCGTGTCCTTTGATTAGCACTTGGGGCCCTGCTGGGCTCTCCTCTTATTTTCTACAGAAATAATTTATCTGTGCTGAAAGGGTTCCTCAAAACGATGTTTGCACCATCAGAACCTTTGTGAAGGGCTTCAGGAGCCTCCCCTGTCTGGGCCACTCTGAAGTTGGGGTGGAACAAACAACTGGGGGTTAACACACAGCATTTACTGGTGTCAGCCAGGGACATTTTCAGGTGTAATTTCTTTCTCCTCAGAACTGGTTGGAAATTGCTCAGCTGGAGAGAGAAGCTGTCTCCTGTGTGTTTGGAATATATGCAGCACCTCTGGAGGGATGTGGCTGTGACACGGGTGCTAACTGCTGGAAAACACACAGCTGCCTGAAAAACACAGCTCATTAAATGCTTGGAACAAAGAGGTTTTCTCATCTCATCATAAAGGAAAAAAAGGCTTTTTATTTTATTTTTTTTTTCTCCCCATCTAGAATGTTCTTGTTTCCACGAAATTTCTTTCTTTACATGTGGAAGTGGTTTGGGGTTCAAGGCAAATTGACATCTTCAATTGGCTCAGATTTTAAAAAGCACTCAGAAAGCTTCAAATGAGCACAGAGGCCTTTCATCCTTAATTCATTTTGAAATTCTCCATCAAGCTTTTATGTTCAATTCTTTAGAAATATCATCTTCCTCTGAAAATCCTATTGTAGAGACCTTGTTGGGAGTAACCTTTCTGCTTAAAAATAAAACCCACTCACAGTAAATTATGTCTTTTGGGCAAAGCCCATGCTAGAAGGGCTGTGTGCATGAGTTTATAGCTCATGTAAAGCCTGTGGATTACCTTAAACTTGGGGAAAAAAAGGAGTTATTGATGAGAGCTATCGAGAGCTGTTCAATACTTACTCTTATTATCATCTGGAGGTTCAGGCATATTTTTGTGTGTTTTTAATTGTGTGGAATTTCTGGTAATTTGGATTCAGCCAAACCTGACAGAGTGAGGCCAAAGATGCTCAGTGCCTGTCTGCACCTGGCCTGTAATACTTAATTATCAAATAAATGTCCTTTGTATGGTTCATGGAAAGAGCTTAAAGGTAATGCTCCTGCCCGGCAATTGCCCAACAGCTCAAAGCTTATTTATATTAATTTTTACTTCATTTGGGCTGAATGGCATTGTTCTGAGTAACAGAACCCCATGGAAATCTGAATTTAAGATCTATCTGCAAAGAGCAGGTAACAGTTTCCCAGTGGTAATCACGGTCCCAGGGCAGCTCAGTGCACAGTTTGTGTCCTGTGTGAATGTGCTGACTGCTACTCCTTTTACTTCTTTTATTGTCTCACAGTTCCCAGTCTTTACTTCCAAATTTACAGCTGATTTCATGAACTTTAAATGCCTTTGAGTGCTCTAGACCTTCACACAGTGGTCCAACCTTTTAAAAGTGGACACAAAATTTATTATAGCACTAAAAAGGAAGCAAAAGCCAAATTTTATTTCGCTAAGCTGGAATTTACCAATAGAATCCATCTATCTGGATCCATTACTGGTAATTGCAGCTGCCTGCATAGGCTCCTTTCCATCTGCTGGGAATTTGGGTGGAACGTGGCTGACTTTGCTGATGCTTTTGTGCTGTTTGCTCGGGAGCAAACCCTGCTCAGGGCTCCTGCATCACCTGCAGGAACAGGTGTGCTTTCCTGCTGAGAGGAACACACAAAGCCCCTTCCCCTGCAGCTTTGTGTTTATGTTTGGAGCTGATGCAGATGCAGCTCCCACTGCCCACACCCAGGAGCAGCCTGAGAGCCCCGGCCAGCAGCAGCTGGGAGTCCAAACCTGGATTTCCGATGGCTCCTCCTTCCCCTTCTGTCATTTGTGTCAGACTGAGCAGCTTTAAAAACAGGGAAGAAAGTCACAGCATGGAAGTGCCATTGTTTGGCTGCTCTGAAGCCCCGTGACTTTGAAGGTTTTTCTTCTGGCCAATCTGTTGTGCTGTATTCTGAACAGGGTTACAAACAAAGTCCAACTCCCCACCCTTCTCCATACTTTCCATAGTCCTGTGATTGATGGGATCAAAATACATCAGCAGAGCAGCAGGACTTCAGAGGAGCTTTATAAAAATGAGGCTTTACCACACCTTTCTGTCAGATGCCAGCAGAGCAAAGAGGGCAGCAGTGGATGGAGCTGTCACAGGAGATGTCCTGTCAGGAATGGTCACCCCCAGCAGTCAGCCTTTGTGCAGAATGAAACTCCAGATGGGCATGGACTGAGGTACTGTCAGCAATAAAAGCTGTAAATACCTTGCCATCATGTAATAGGCAAAACTTGCAAGGGCAGCTGAAGAAACTTTTAAACCATATCCTCGCAGAGTTCCCTGTTCCCTCGTGCCTTCCCCCAGCTCCCCGCCTGCACTGGGGGTGGAGAACCAGTACAGCCCAAAGGAAAAACCAGAGCAGCAGTTTCAGCACCTCAGCTTCCACAGAAAATGCTTCAAAATCCCCTCCAAAGCTTCAAGATCAAGACTGGGGGAGGAAACGGGAGAAACAACATCTGTCTTGTGCCAGCTGCAGATGTGACTTTGCTCCAGACCTGTCTGAGAAATGCCATCAGAAGAGAGGATGGTTTGATTCCACTTTGCTTTTCTGCCCCTGGTTGTAATTTACTCGTGAATCTGTGCATTGTGGATACACACTGAGTTAGGAAATGAGAAGCACTGTGACGGTCTCAAATGCACAACTACTGCCCAAACTGTGTAGATGGAATTAAAAGTCATTTCTCCCTGGGATCCTGCCTTGCCAAGCAAGATATCTGAGGCCATGTGCATATATGGGCTGGCATGTCCCCAGTGAGCAGGAGCCAGGCTCTCTGTTTGTCCCCATTTCCAGAAATTGCTTGACTGGAGAGTGCACAAAACAAGGCAGATTTTGGGTTCTGTGCTAATGTGAGCTGCAGAGAGCTCCTGTGGCTCAGCACAGCTCCAGCCCAGCTTCAAAAGCTGGTCATTTGGGAGCAAATAGATGCCCTCCAGTCTCAGCTGGCATTTTGTGCCCCTTTTACTCTCTCAGTTCTGTCGTAGTGAATGATATTCAGTGAGTTAAATGTACTGCTGCTGCTCTGCAAGGCTGCCTCTGAAATCTGTGTAATGAGATTAGATAATGTACAGCCTTTTCCCTAAGAAAAGCTCTCTTGCTTTGGGGGGTTTCTGCTTAGTTTTGCTAATCTGGCTGCAGATTCTGAAAATGCAGACCCTGCTTGGCAGAGAGAGCCCGAATTGCATCCGAAGCATGGCCCTGCTTTTAGGGAGTTCTCCTGCTCAGTGCTGGGGCTGATGTTGCTGTGGGTTGCTGGGAGCTGTGCCTGAGGCCACAGGGCCGCAGCAGCCTTGCAGCAGCCTTGCAGCAGCCTTGCAGCAGCCTTGCAGCAGCACTCAGCCCTGTTAGCCACGGGGAGCTGCAGCTTGCTCACTCTGAGGCTGCCACCAGTTAATGAAGTTAATTCTGCCCCGCTCCCCGTGCCCAGAATGGGAATTGTGCTCCTCAGCCAGCTCAAGGATCTGTTCTTACGGGGGGTCACAGGTGGAAGGAACTCTCAGGGTTATTGTCACACATAATGTGAGCAAAGCAAGCCTTGGCAGTGTTCAGGGGAGGGTTTCCCAGCCTGCAGGGCTCTGGGTACCTGAGCTGCAAAGCTGCACAGCCAGGGGGGCTCAGCCCAGCCACTGGAGCAGTCAGCAGCTCCTGGAATGAGCTTTGCATTCTGAACACTGCTCTAACGCTGTCACAAAGCTGGAAACAGCACACAAGAGCTCAGGGCTGAAGCTTTAACTTTCATCAGACTTAAGGAGTTTAATTTGAAAAAATGAATAGTGTGGGCCTTGAGACAGCTTCAGTTTTCCACTAGGTTACTGATTATTCAGGATTATGCAGCCAGGCATTGAAATCCTTCTTAGGAAGCCTAATGTTCATGTAGCAGAGGATTTCCTTTGTGTATAAGACCATGGTGTTTAATTGGAATCAAGGCTGGAGAGCCACACCGAGTCTCTCTTTCAAAACCTGTAGAATTTAATAGAGGATAATTCCCTTTCTACAGAGGATGTTGTTAAAAAGGAGAAATTCTATAGCAAGGACACGGATATCCAAAAAGCTCGTGGAATGATTATCACTGTCTAATATTTCCTATAAATTGCAATCCCTATAAAGTGCTGTGTGGTGAATGAGTGATCCTGGTGCTCTGTGTTCCTTAATGGAATGAATGGCTGCTCCCAGAGCTTGACCTCCCTGAGCTCCAGGTGCCTCCCTGTGTGTCGGTGATGACACTGAGCTAAACACGAGGAGTCTCGTGTAGGCAAAGTGCTGAACACCACTATTCTTTACTGATTAATTAGCCTGGAATTTTTTTTTTCCGCTGAAATTGAGATTCCTTTAAGAGGCACTGGAAAAAGCTCTCTGCTCACAGAAGTGCTGTCATAAATATTTAAACATTTATGTAACCTTTGAATATTTTAGCAACATTTACATTAGTAGAACAGAAATGGGTAAATGGGTTTACAGACAAAAATGCAAGATTCTGAACCCGATGAAGACAAGCAGGACATCCACTGTTACCACATCTCCTCACCTCTGCTCAGTCCTGAAACCACACAGAATATCCCAAAAATGGACTGATGCTGCTCAGTTTTTCAGTCTCCACAAACCTGACAGGGTTGCTGCATTGAAAACTTCTCCTTTTGTCCTTCTGAACTGTCCTTCAGAGACTGGGCTGGTGTCTCCAGAGGTGAAAACCACTGGGAGAATAAACAAGCTTGGACTAGAGCAGACTCACAGAGGCAGCCACTCATTTATTTTTGGGTTTTATCCTTGTCATTCCTTCCACTCCTGTGTACAGCAGACACGAGCCAGGACAGACAGTGCTTTGAGTTCACCATCTTTAGAGAGGCAGCCTGAGCTTGTATGTGACGTGAAATTTGTCTGTCTAAAACTACCTGAATTACCTAATTACTGCTAAAATTACCAGCAGTAATGGAAGGAAGATTTCTCAGGAATCTGCAGTGGAATTGAACCCAGCAAACCCAGTGTTGTCCAGAGGTGCCAACAGCCCCTCTGAGGCCGTGGTGGCCAGGGCAGAGCCTCGTCACACCCTTGGTGTGGCCTCCAGCAGCTCCTGCTCCCTTCTTGTGGTTCTGCAGGACAGAGGTCGTGGTGGGATCAAAAAATCTGAAATGGGGAAGTGAAGGGGGACCCTGAGGTTCTGCATTTGGCTGGTAACAGTTCCAGGAATATCCTTAAATTCCACTGCAGGCAGTCTGCTGATTGCCAGGGGAGAGGGACGTGCCCTCCCCAGATCACAGAGTGCCACAGGTAGCGACTCAGGAGTGACTCTCTCTTGATTTCCAGGCAGCAGTTTTCTCTGTCAGCTCAATAAAATGTGATTTGTTGCAGAGAGAATCTGTCCAAGTCATCTGGAAAGGCAATGGCCTTTGTTACAAGGGGGCACAAAAATATAATGCCAGGAAAAAGACAAAGAAAAAGCCTCCAGGGAATTGTGCTTAGCCCTGTCTTTTGCTGTCTGCTTCTTTATTTTAGTTTTAATCTGGAGAAAGAAGTTAGGAAAACAGAAAAAAGGGAAAAGTAGCTGAATGCAGCTTAATAATGAAAGAAACTGCTGAAATAGCATCAGAGAGCTCTTTAAAATGCAAAACTTCTTGCTGATCTGCTAAGCAGGAAAGAAAAAACCCAATCACTTAAAGGTGGTGGCTGAGCAGGCTTTCCCTTCATCATTGCTCACTTCTTCTGATGCCAGAGATAAAAAGCACTTTCAGAGGGAGGATGTTTTCATAGTAAAAGCATAAATACTACAGGAGATGAGAGACACCTCACTGCTCACCATCTCCAGCTTCTGTTAGAAACTTCCCTGGCCTGGAGTGGGCAGGACCCACAGCTGAGAGATTGTCCATGATGTTCCCTGACCTGCCAGAAGCGTTGGCAAAAGCCTGGAGGAAAGCAGAAAAGTACTTCTATCAAAAACTATTAAACAAATATGCATTTTTAATTTAAAAAAAAAAGGAAAGAGCAGAGCAGGATGTGTAGGGACATGAGCAGTGCTGGTTCCTGGGGAAGAGAAGAATGTTTTTCACAATGCAGCTCCTAAAAAGCTGCCAGTGCTGCTGATGCATGTCCAGTAATAAATACCAACTGGAGACTTTGAAAGGCTTGCTGGTGCCTCCTTAGGCTGCTGTGTGCACTTGTTCAGCCATTTGTTTGTGGCATACCCATGAAGGCTGATAGCAGCTTTCCAAATACAGATGGAGATTGGATCTCAGCCCAGAACCATGTTGGAATTGCAGTTTTGCTCCTGTTGTTATTCTTTTTCTTTTCCCAACAGTTAGATTTGTTCAGTTACTGACAACACTGAGCTTTAGACAATATAAAATCATACATCTGCACCAGACCTGGCCAGTCTGAAGCTGAGCATGTTGTCTGAAATCTTTTATCTGCACGAGCAAGGGCTTTGCATGATGCATAAATAAGCAGAAGAAAGTTCAGGACAGCAGTGGCTGTTGCTCCAAGCAGAGTTCAGTTGGATTTTGCTGCCAAGCCTCCCAAACAGTCGTGCTCAAAGGAAAACAAGGCTCAAGAGCTTTCTCTGAAGCTGCTTTGTGGAATGTCCCAGAGCTGGGATGGACACAGGGGCTGAGTGTCCCTGGAGTGTCCCAGGGGCTGCTCACTGCTCTAGGCACAAACAGCTCCCTGGGCAGGAGCCTGGGGCTGTGGCTCCTGACACGCAGCCCTTGCTTGCCTGCAGCTGGAGCTGTTTGATGAGAAACAGTCTGGATGATTCCTCTCGCAGGGTGAAGCTGCTGCAGACAGCACAGGAAGAACAAGCAGCCCATCTAGGGGTGTGTTCTGAATACCTGCCTGCTGTTGTGTGGGGTGTTACACATGTGGTTGGGTTCCTCACAGCCTCTGCTGCTCAGTGCTTTTAGATTAGAGCAAACAGTCATTCTGAAACAGCCTGCTGTGAACTAAACCTTTTCCTGTACTGCCATTTGAGTTAATAGATGGAAAATTAGGCCATGCCATTCACAGTGCTAAAATGAAGATGTTTCTGCCCCCTTCAGGCTTCTTCTCTTCAGGTGGTCTGAGGGAGAAGCCTGGGGAGAGGGATGGGTCAGGTATGGCAGCACATGGTAGTGCTTCAGTCAGCAGAGCTGTTAGAGCATAACCCAGCGAGGGAACGAGGCAGAGAAATGTTTGTATTTTGTTCTCTGAAGTTTCTGCAGTGCCTAAACCCAAGAGAGGACACAAACAGGGGGTGTGTGTCACACCAGGAGCAGTTCAGCTCTGCATCTGTGGTCACAGGGGACATCCATCTGTTGGATTGGGCTGGGGACATCAGCCCTGCCAGCTGATAATCTTCATTTGGATAAAACGCTATTGGGGATGGATAAAAGGGAGCAGATGATAATATAAATATATGTTCAGGTGGGGAGATGCATTTCCACCATTACCGGTGCTCGTTAGGGGTGATGAAATAGAATTGTGACAGGATGGGAGCAAGAGCAGGAGCTGGGATGTGCTGGGTTTGCTGTTAATTTCTGCAGACATACCAGCTCATTTAGTAATGTAACAGCTCCCATTGCTCACCACTTAATGTATGATTAATGTGCCACAGGATTTCCCCAGACATTTATGACACCTTTAGGAATAGAAATGACAATGACTTTATCACATGGAGTCACTTCATACTATCTGCATCTCTCTTAATGATTTATATATCCAGGAGTGATTTTATCACTAGTACTCAGTAACATAATAAATGAGAAAACTCAATGGTCTGTAAATTACAACACTGATTAAAGAAGTGATTACTGATATAACTCTTACATGGCTGTGATAATGCTTGCTTATATTTCAGGACAGCATTTACATATTAATGATAAATCTGCTGTAGTGTTTAGAAATACTTTACAGCTTTAATCAAAATGTAAACATTTATAAACAGATAATGTTTATTGCAGAGGAAATGAGTCGACTTCTGTTACTCTTCAGTGGGTGAAATCTACTGCAGAGCCAGTCTGGAAAGCAGCATCACTCCCCAGTGGGGGTCATCTTCAGGGTAGAGCTTGGATTGGCTGCTTGCCCCTGTGGAGACCAGTTTGGCTTTGCTGGGTTCCTCTTGACCAGGCTGGGAAGGAGCTTTGCTCATTAAGAATTCCCCAGCACTGCCATGGGTTTGTAGCTCACTGCATCGCAGACAGAAAATCAACCGCAGGCTTCACAAATAGCGTCCAGTCTTTAGGCATCTCCAGCATAATTGTGCCTCCTGAGCCAGGGAAGGGTTTTGTGTTCAGCTGCTCCCGCTGGAAAAGGCCATCATTAACAGGCATAAGGAGAAGGGAGCCTTTTCTGCTGGTTTGGGGGTTACTCTTGGAGCTTGTCACAGTGATCACCTTTGCTCCTTCCCCTGTCTCTTGCCCCTCTCAGGTTTCTGACAGGTGTGACTATGTTTTTGTCAACGGCAAGGAGATGAAAGGCAAGGTGAATGCTCTGGTGAACTTCACCTATCAGTACCTGAGCGCTCCCCTGCAGATGACGGTGTGGGTGCCACGCCTGCCCCTCCAGATCGACATTTCTGACACTGAGCTCAGCCAGATCAAAGGCTGGAGGGTCCCCGTTGTTTCCAACAAAAGGTGGGTGTGAGTCTGTGCCTCTCCTGGGTGATCTGTGAAAGGAGTGTTCCCTAAAGGAGCAGCGCTGGAAGCCCCAGCTCTGCACCGGGCACCTGCACATAAAATAAAGCTTTAAAAGCTGTGGGACTTCTGCTCCTGTGCGTGTCTGTCTCGGGCAGCAAAATCCAGTGTGGGACTCTGGAAAGGGCCACTGGCAGAGCTGTTGTTTGGAGATGGCAGCACAGATGGAAAAGTGGCACAGTCCAGGAGTGTGGTCCTTCATCATGTCAGGTGGCCAAGGGCAGTCCAGAACTCCAGAAGGGAGGGCTCTGAGCGAGGGGGCACTCCCCGTTAGCACTCCAGTGTCAGCTGTCACTGCTGTTCTCCAGCCCATTTCTCTGTGCTTTGTTCTCTCCTGGCACCAGGCCCACCAGGGACAGCGATGACGAGGACGAGGACGAGCGCAGGGGCAGGGGCTGCACCCTGCAGTACCAGCACGCCATGGTCAGGGTGCTGACGCAGTTCGTGGCCGAGGACTCGGGCCCCTGGGGGCAGCTCAGCTTCCTGCTGGGCTCCGACTGGCACTTCGACATCACAGACCTGGTCAGGGACTTCATGAAGCTGGAGGATCCTCACATTGCCAAGCTGCAGGAGGGCAGGATCCTGGTGGGCCGGGAAGTGGGGATGACCACCATGCAGGTACTGCTGTGGGCAGGGCTGCTGGGCTCAGCCTGGGGCTGGCACACACTGCCAGGCCCTCCCAGAGCCTCGGGGGTTAAACACTAAAGCATGGAGGGTGACCAGAGCTCATCTGTGGGTGTGAGGAAGGTGGAGAAGACAGAACTGGCTATCCATAGTTCCCTAGAGAGCAGCATGGCCCTTAGTCTCAGCAAAGGGGAGGATCTTCTACTGTCTCGATGTTCCATCAGAAACAGAAAAATCTGGAGGAACAAGAATTTCCAAGCCTAGAGATGAAGGACAAATCCTAGGCTGGTAACTTCCCTTTGAAGCAGTTGGGAGGTTTAATGAGCTCATCCACATGAGTGGGAAGACAGAATAACAGAAGTGAATTTTAAATCCACTCTCGTGGTGAAATAATGCCATTATAACAGCAATAATGCCCCAATAGCACCACTGGGATAGGACAGCTCCCAGTCGTGGATGGCTCTCAGCCATAAGCTCTCCACTCAGGTTTTCTGACCCTGCTGATGAAATCAGGCTCCCTTTTCCATGTGCTCTTCATTTCTGTGCATAAAGCTTTGGAGACAAGAAGGGATGATGACCTTAAGAGAGGTTGCATTAATTGATCAGCCTTTTCCTAAGTCGATTCTTGTGTGTTTCTCCAAAGGTTTTGTCTCCTCTGTCTGACTCCATCCTGGCAGAGAAGACAGTGACTGTGCTGGATGACAAAGTGACCATCACAGACCTGGGGGTGCAGCTGGTGTCTGGGCTTTCTCTCTTCCTGCAGCCCAGTGCAGCCACCAGCAGGGCCATTGTGGCCACAGCCGTCGCCCAAGAGCTGCTGCACACTCCTAAGCAGGTAATGCACACTCTGAATTTACTCCAGGGGCAGCATTTTATCAGTGGAAGGTACAGATGGTAATCCATAGCAAGGTTAGAATTTATTCTTCAGGTGTAGTCCGTGTCCATGTTAAGTGCTTTCCTCTGCAGATTCTCTGGAACTGCCTGGTCATTTCTTCCCTTCAGGCCCTGGTTCTGAGCAGTGCATCTCCATCAGCAGAAAACGAGACAGGAATAGATTCCACACTGGGAAATAAATGGAAGGAAATGGCGTAGGAGTGACCTATAGAGACACAGACATCTTTTCCTTTCATTTGCAGTTTGAATGAAGGATATAACATTAAAGTCACTTTCCCTTAGAAAATTTAATGCAAATGTGGGAATGTTTGTGGCTAAATTTTGCAAAAAGTGACTCATGATTTGGAGTGCATCAGCTGAGATCCTGACTGAGCTGGAATTTTGAAGGCAAATGCTGAGTGTTTTCTGAAAATCAAGCCCTTTTGAAAGAGGGTTTTTTCCAAGGAGACAGCCCAGGACTAAGGCTGTACTTGAACATTGTGAGGACTTCATTATTTAAGTACAAGTTTATAAAAAGAACCAAATAACTCATGCAAACCTTACTGATGCAACTGAAAAACAAAATCCAGAATTCTTGCTGTGGCTTTCTTTCAGTGTCTATAATGACTGGATTATTTAGTTATAATGACCACACGAAGCACAAAGCAGCCAAAACATAAGTCCTGAAAAGTTGGCAGTTTCTCCATAAATACAAAGCACTCTAAAGAAGATAAGCCAATATTGTTTTACCTTGGATGCTTTAAGTGAGATACCTTTATCTGTAGCTGAGCAACTAATGACTTGCTGTGACAAGGTGACCTTGAGGGATGCTGAGCCCGTATATTATTTTTTAATCAATAGGGAATTCATGGGCTCTGAAAAGTGGATCAGTGATTTAGGTGCCTAAAAAATAGACACAGGTTGCCCAACTTTTAATTATCAAAGATGAAGTATCTTCAGAAAATTTGGAAACTGTAGCTGTGAGTAATCTATTTTTGGTGGCCATCTGCTCAGGTAGGAAAGCTGTTCCATTTGGCTTGCTGATGGTTGTTAAATCAACACTGTCATCTTAAAGGCTTCTCCAAAATGTAAACAAAATAAAACCTCCAGTGTTTAAGTGTTTTCTGATCTATGTGAGCTTCGAGGCCTCCCAAAGCTCAGCTGGCTCTGCAGGGAAACTCCCAGTCCTATCAAGATTGTTTGTCACTGTAGGGTTTTCACGAGGTCTAATGAGCTGAAATGGGTCAGTGAAGAAAGAAGAAACGAGCCTCTAATAAAGAGCTCTGTGCATTGATGTATCCCTCAGTGCTACTGGGGAGCTGCAGACATTTTCTCAGGCCAGAGGAGCAGTGCTGGTGCTGTCCAGAACCAGAAGCCGGGTTCTGGTGTTTCCAAAGCCTGGGGATCCAGATCCAGCCCTGGGGCTGGGACTGGGACTGGGGCTGGGGCTGGGGCTGGAGCTGGGGCTGGGACTGGGACTGGGGCTGGGGCTGGAGCTGGGACTGGGGCTGGAGCTGGGGCTGGGACTTGGGCTGGGACTGGGGCTGGGGCTGG